TTTTCCAGAATATTTCAACATTTTGTTTCTCTTTCTTAGGCCATATGATTGTGTTTATCAGGTTTGTTTCCTGGCTGTTAAAGTTAGGGCTGGGCTCTCATGATTAATAGCTGAAGGGAAGGTGAAAAGATGGAGCCAGGCTCTTTTAAGTTGTGTCCAGTGACAAGATAAGAGGCAATCACTTCCAATCTCACCACCCTGTGAGTCTGTGACTAGCGACGGTATGTTTCTAAACTGATTTCTTTTAACAGAAATCATATCCAAAGTATGAACTGTCTACACTTATTACAATTTATGATAGCAGTAGGTAGCTGCAACATTTGTGACTTTCTGCACACAGTAGTAGTATTTCCACTGATTCAAAGCCTTGCTTCCTTGAAGGTAAATGGAATTAGTAGCTCAACTTGTTCAACCTGCTTTTAAATCATACTGTATATTTTTGCCAAGATGTAAAATCAAACAGCATGAATCCAAGGCATATGCATTAACTGCAATGCACTTGCAATACAGCTAACTAAACATAAAGCAAAATGAAAAGCCAAAGGACTAATTAACTCAGGAAAAAAGTTCAATATTGTAACAGTAATGAGGTTTATTTAAAATTATGGTGGAAAAAGGAAAAAAGACTTTTTCTGATGAGCAATGTAGTAGTATAATGAACACTGCACAGGTTTCTTCACAGGTGAAGACTATGTTGCACAGGCTATACAATCTTTTTTTGGTACTACCGAAAGTATCAGCTGAATATTGGTACTCAACTAGTAAAAAATATAACTCAAAAATTCAGGTTTGCATGTACTCCAGTGGTAAGAAAAACTACCTTTTGTAAGACATTTTACATTATTAAAATGTGTTTTTTTAGAAATTGCTTTGTAAGAAATCATCTCTGTCAACCAGTCATGGTACAAAAAAATGCACCATATTACTGAATGTAACGTATTTGTCATAGTTGATTAGATTCTAAAACACTAGTCTTTGTGCACAGTGAGGAATTAGGCATTTTTGGACCATTCTGCAGTATCAATAATGAAATTGGGGAGTTTTAACAGAGTAATATGACAACTGGTAATTGCAGTAACGCAAGACTGTAAGTTAGGATGTTTCCCAGGTAGTATATGAAAAAACAGACTTCCAAAGAATATGGCTTAATATGTTTTCTCCAGTAAGAGAAGTATTCTCTAAAGGAATTTGTACTTGTTGATAGAGAGCAATCAGAGAGATCAGCATCTTACGCAATAATGTGCACCTAGTAGTACAAAATTAAGTGCTGTGAATACTTTGAACAAAATGAAGATATAACTGTCAGGGCAAGTAGAGAGCCACTTTTAAGGACCATAGACTAAAAACAAACCATTACTGGCTTGTTTAAATCCTTTCCAATTTATTAATGCCATCGGTGCGTCCTAACAGAATAATACTATGAAGAATGATGTTAAAATTATGATTTTTCATTCTCTAATACTAATCATTGCAGTGAATAATTTGTGGAACCCAATAAATGATGTGTTCTCTCAAGATTTTTTTCTTCTTTTAGTCAGGTCTGTGTTATGCTTTTTAAGATTCCTTTACAATCCTAGCATGCATTTTTCAAAATAATTTTATCTCAGCTAAAAACACAAAAAAAATCACACAGAAATGTAAGTATTTACATATGAAATCTCTAAATTTGAAAAGAGCCTGATAGTTTTACATGTACAAATTAAATTATAATTTGCTGGGATTTGTACATTTAACTTCCTTGGGTCCTTCTGAAAACCTCATCTTAGAGTATGTCCTGCTCCATCTGTTATCTATTTTTATCACGGTTTTATCACTATAGACACATCTTTAGAACCAATACCTAGTATATGTCTTATATGCCACCACACAGTAACTTCTCTATAGGTTACTTTTTCTCATTAGTAATAATAGTAACTATTATTATCCAACACACACTACAATTCATATGTATAATCAAATTTTGCAGTTAATGAAACCCGTTAATAAATGCTTTTAATGTTATGTTTCTTTTTCATGTCATTTTGATTTATTTTTTTATACTTAATATTAGAAAAACTAAACATAATTGACCACAAAGATGACTTTGCAGGAAGAAAGCCTTATAAATGCCTCTGGGTTCCCTATAATTCATGTTTGCCTAGCATTTACTTTAGATAAAAGGTAGGGTTAACTGCGCCCATTTGGTATCAAATCTGATAATCTCTTTCTCTCCTGAAGAACTGCTTTTATCATCAAGAGCAACCCTAACAGAGAACAAGGATAAGGTACAGAAAGTCTCTGCAATCCTACTGTCAGTTTAAGTCTGATAGGGGTCAGTAAGTAAAAGGATGAGACAGTGACATCAGAGAACTCTGTGTCTCCATTAGGCTTGTTTAACTGCACTGACATTTAAGAATGTGATGGGAGTGTGCTCCTCTCCTGACTACATAAACTCTCAAATGTATTAAAGCATACAAAGAGAATTTTTTTTTTATTAACTTACAGAACAGCATAGGTGCATTGATTGGTCCTATCTAGTTGCTATGGAATGATATTAAAAATTATGTCTTGCTTATTTACTTCTATTTTAATTTTAAAAGTTATTGAGGTTTATACTGTAATATTATTAAAAATGATAAATATTCTGTTAAAATGGCTCACTAGTTCTTATGCAAAGAGGCTGCCATAACAGAAAAAATTATTCTCAAAACTGAAAAAGGACTGTTATCACTTATGACAACACCGCATTGTATAGAAATGGTGGTGATCAGGTACTCATAGAGTTTTTGAAGAAAAGTTTACAACAGACACTAGGCTGATGAGAGATGAGGCTGCAAAGAAGACACTTCCTCTTGGGGATGCTATTTTACAGAACAGAAATCTTCATCATTAGAATAGCGTTTTCTTTCCCAGGCAAGAAAAATAAGCTATACCTGCAGTTCATACACCAGTGAAAAATTATTTCCAAGGGAAGAAAAAAAAACCCTCTGACTCATTAATCAGAATATTGTATCACACCCAAAATATTTGTGTTGCATCCTAAAAATACCTGACATATAAAGGATATGAAGAAAGTTGTGAATAAGTTCTGGTATTCAAATAACATATGTAATGGAAGAATATATTTGATTTAAACATCATCATCAGTTAAAATATTTAAATCTCAAACCTCTAGTTTTAGAAATGTCTTAATTTCAGGCTAGACCAAATAAATATCTTTTGTTATACAGTAAACATAATCATTACAGTGAAGATATAATATCTTTTTTTTGTCTTCTCAGAAGATTTCTGAACTCTAGATTATGTTGCATTAAAAAGTGTCTACCAATTCATAAATGCAGACTTTAAACAATATGCTATTCCATTTTCTCAAATACTATATTTGATTGTCTCCACACATATTCAAAATTAAGCCTGCAGTAACATGTTACTTTAAATACGTTACTTTAAAATCTTAGCAACTGTTTTAAAACTTTCACTTTCAAAGGTGTCTTAAGACTGTAATAATGTATCAATCCAGAGACTTTTTTATGCCCTTTAGTAAGAATCCTGTGCTGTTAATGAATTCTTAAATTCCAGTCACCCATGTTTCAAAAAATGTGGTCCATCCTCTCTCTTCTGAATACAAATATATTAATATTTGATCTTAAAGCATAACAACCACATAACCTTATAATATACACAATATTATATATTATACATGTATTTTCTATATTTTATAATCTATAATATATTTCATATCACAATGTGCAGAATAGGACAGGATTTTACTGAAAATTTACAGGAATTTCCCTAAACTTGCATTTTTATCTAGTAAGATATTTTCTTTAATTTAAATACCTATAGTTATCAGTGCACCAGTGAACATTAAAGAAATCAACATAGTAAATTAGTATGTTCTCAGAAGAGTAATAATATTTTGCAAAGTTTCAAATCCTTTTATATGTCTATTTATTGAAGAGTAGCTATATAAAGCTATTTATAGTGTATTTATTTTTTAGATCTTCTGGGTTGGGAAATCTCTCCATTCCTAACATCATTACAATTTTGACCATTCCTCATTTTCCTAGCAGATTTTTTTCCTATGTCATAATGCATTACTTGCCTGTCAAAGAGATGGAACATGCAACTGTATACTAAAGCCACTTTCAGAACTCCTCAGGAAATCAGCGGTCTGCAACCACTGCTTATCTTTCTGTGCCACAGATCCTATTCCAATGTCTATCTTCCCATTGGAAAGACATTTTCTGTTCAGAGTCTGAATCTCAAACAGGCCCACTCAAGCTATATTGGAAATGTAGAACAAAAGTATCTAGAAAATCTCTAGCAAAACAATATAACAATGAAATAAAATAGAAGATTTTTTTTGCCTTTTTTTTAGACCTTTGCTTCCTGAATTTGAAGAACAATTTGAAGAGCTAATTTTCCCATGAATTTTTGTGTATTTCAAATTCGTATTCTCTGATTGCCTTCTAAGGACCTGGATTCTTCTCTAAGCAAAATATAATATCCTTTTCTTCTGGATAAAATTCAAAGGCCTTGAACAAAGACAATCTCCAGAAGAGATTGTCACAAACTTTATAACTCCGGGAGGGGTTATACAGGGGCTAGAGACTTGATGGGGATTAGTAAATGAGAGAATCAGGAAAAAAAAACCCAGAAGACTTCAAGGAATCCTAGAAGGTTAAACTGAAGCCTGAGCTGTTGATCAAATTGGTCCTTAACTTATCCCACAGCAGTCTCCACTAGTCCAAAGAATTGAAGTTATTAAACTTAGTTTTAGCGGGTTATATTAGTGGAATATGATTTCAGATTAAATCCTGTCCTCCTCAAATCACCAGTACGGGTCTTGTGAACTTCGAAAAGACAGGATTCCTCCGCTAACTACAAAATGACATGCTTTCTTAAATTCTAAAACCTTATACGTGAAATACCAGGGAAAAAACTGACCTTCCATTAAGAATGTACTTTTTAAAAAAAAATAAAAAAATTTAAAGAGAAAACAAAATATTAGAACTTACATTCAATATCAAGGTACATGCTCTTTTGGTGCCCACCAATTCTACTTGCAGCTTCACAGTCATATCTCCCTGAATCTGACAACTTCACATCTTTAATATGCAGCGACGATTTTCCATGCTGCCCTTTCACTTCTATACGGCCATCTGGGCTCTGTTTACATTAATTCAGGAAAAAGAAAGGTTTTATATATACATATGTATATTTATGTATGTTTTATATATTAAATACCATTGACAAGTATGACTGAAAGCATCTCTTCACCTTCAGTTATTACTGACAGCAAAGCAGCTTCTAAATTTTTCAAATAATAAAAAAAAACAAACAGAAAAATATGTTCTGTTTCTAGGCACTATAAACAAGGGAATAAGTACATGCTTAAAGGAACATTGTCAAGATAAACCACAAAATATATCCACTTACGACTGGGATAGTGAACTGCAGACTCTAGTCATGAAAATGCATACATGTAAAATTCTAGTATGTCAGATTACAGTTAGCATTCTCTTGTCCTTAAAAATGGAACTGTGAAACCAAATAGAATATCCCCTCAAGCAATAAAAAAATAAATCATAGATTGATTTTCATTATTCACATTTTCTTGTCAGAAGATCACAATTTAAAAAAAAAATATTATCATAAATGCAGCTGGAATTCCTGGATTTCATTTCCATAACATTGCATGGAAAGAGGCAAGAGAAAAAAAATTAATGCTGGATTTTGATTTTCTAGAACATAAATTTTATAAACTTCATATAAATCCTCATCCCTAATCCCTTCCCAACCCCTCCCCAAAAACTATTTGAATTTCAAAAGTATGAAAATACTAGCAAAAATTAAACAAAACAGTAAAAACTAATCCTCTGCTTGACACTTCAACCTTCAAGGAGTACTTCACCTGAGAAAATAAGTTATTTAATCAGGCTCTGCTCTTTACTTGTTTTGTAGCTTTGGGAAAACTTGCTTTACTTCTTTGTTTTACTTTTTGTTTGAGGTAAAAATAAAAGCTGATAAAAAATACTGGTATTTACCTACCTTCTTTATTGAGGAAGTTGGAAAAAGGAGGGAAAACCAGTAACTATTTCATTGTATCACTTCTAAACTTGAAATATACTTTAATGACCAATCCTATAAATTCATACACTCAAGCTTACTGCTTTTTACACTACATACTCATTAAGTGGCAGCTGATATTTAATCGACAGCTTTTAACTCTGTAAAATTGTTTCTTCACTGAATACAAAAGAAACACACGCAATTTAGATCTTAAAATACTTGACATAAAGCAAAGATATGAAGCATTCTGTTTATCATAATTTCTATAAAAGGAAAAGTATTCTGATCCCCCATGAGAATCCAAAACCACTAAATTTTATTTCTTGTGAAAACCTCAGAACAAAGGTACATAAATTAGTTAGGGAATTGTAATGCTAGAGGAAACCTAAAACCCTCTGGATTGGTAAAAATTAGTAACTAAGACCACTTAGTTATCTCCTATGTAATTTCTAATGCTGAAAATTCTGTCTTCATTATACCTTTAAAAAAGGAAAGACAACATGCTACAGTATTGAACGTCACGGATTTTGAAGGGAATTGTTGGCATAATGGGAATGCAATTTATTTAAAATGAAACATTCAATATTTTTCTAATCTTTGATATACAGAATACTTGCTTTATTTACATATATAACAAACACTTTGTATGACACATTTAATAACAGTATTATTTATCTATGTATTATTTGCTTCTTTTTTTAAAACATAAAATATTCTTTTTTCAAATTATTAAGCATATAACAGTGAATCTACATTATTCCCACCTAAAATGTACATACACTTCAGCAATTTATTTCTGATTTTACCTTGATTACAAATATTTCCCTAAGAAGTCACATTTAAAACTGTGGGAAGACATATGCTGAAACAACCTGTGACTATGAATCACAGAGAAAGTACTGGATACAGTATTAGTGATTCATTAAGAGCTGCCCTCCTATGGCACTAAGGTAGCTCTATACAATAGAGTAGTAGTAGAGAACAGGTACTGTCTTTGACCTTACAATGACCTACTTTGACCTACAATAAGAAGCCAAATTCATTCTTACTACCTTCTCTTTGCACAATGCAGAGTGTCTTTCTGTGATATTATACTGAACTGTAACAAGACATTCACTCAAGTTCTTTCATCATGATTTTCCAAATTATATCAAGAGATCATTCAGCTAGCCCAATTTTGTTTCCAGTAATAGGTTATTAGAAGCATATATGAAAAAGAGAAAAAAAAAAAAGAATTAAAAAGATACATTTCAATGGTAATGCTTCACACTCTGAAAAACAAATATGTAGCAGTGGTACCTTCTGTGTAGTACGGTCAAGAGGATATCTGTAGAAAGAGTAAATTATTTATAATCCTCACTGAAGTCACTAAAGGTATTTTTAAAGTATAAATTTTGCAGCTCTATTTTGTACTTCATAACAATGGAAGATGGTATCAGTTCAATACTAATCCCAAATGCCATCATTCACTGTATAATTATTCCATATATTCCAAAGTAGAGATATGAGGGTTAATTGATGTTAAAAAAGAAAGTAATAAAAAAAGCATAAAGACCTTAAAAATAAATAGCTTTTACAGTAACTTCTCTATCTTGTTTCTAGTTTATCTAATTATTTTCCAGTACTGCTGGAAAACATTTGGTCTCTGAATACACTGAATGATAGAATATTTTGCATAGCCACATCATCTATTCTCATCACCAAATATACGGTAAGAAGCATTCTGAAAGGGATCTACTAGGTTACGCAAAATCCACAAATACAAATAAAACATGCAGCAATTGTAGACAAGAAAATTTGGCCCAAATTATCATAAAAATACATATTTGCTATAGTTTATTTCTACTTTTTCAAAATTGTCTGAAAATTATTACAATACACTCTTCGAAATTACTTACAAAACAATGTAAAACCTATATTGAGATGTTTTCTACTGCATTGCTCAGATTGTGTATTATACTGTGGCTTCTTTGTGAAGCGTTTAAGAAGTCCTGTTCCCTTGTCCTATTCTGCACGTTGATTATTGTACAATTCTATTAATTCTTTTACAAAGATCGTGCAATACGTGATTAAAAATATACTGACTGACTGATATTCTTAAACACAGAAATACGTGAAAGAAAACAAGACTGCAAATACAGAGCAAGAAGATCCCAGTAACGAATAAATAAATAATCAAATAAATAAATAAATGAAAATGCTTTGAAATTGTTGCCTATGTCTGGAGAGGATTCCCAGAATTCATAGAATCATAGAATAGCTTGGGTTAGAAGGACCTTAAAGATCACCTAGTTCCATCCACCTGCTATGGGCAGGGACAAATGCTAGATAGTATGATGAATTTTCACCAGTACTTAAAAAATACTAGTGGGGCTGTATTACACTGTTCTATGGTATAATTCAGTTAATAGAAATCTGGGTAAATAAATCAAGGACATATTGTGATGACACAAAAAGTACAGTAATAGTGCAGTCACACCGAAGGACAGCTAGGAACGAACATTAGGAACACAACAGAGACATGGAAATTGACTATAGCAAAGAGTAATGAAAAAGCTGAGACAAAATTTGAATATGCAGTGTTAGCCTGAAGCAAAAATTGAAGCCATGCTCCTTATATTTTCCTGTTCTTCTAAAGAGCATTATCAAACTAGAATATACTGACAAAGCAGAAGTCTGTATTCATACTGATTCAAAATGTCAGTCGTCTTAGTGAAGTCTGAACACTGAACATACACTGTCAAACAGGGGCAGCACTAACATTAGTGTTTGCACCCACCAGAGCTTTTTAATCCTTGGTAAAATCTATCTGAGGCTTATTTCCCTCCTGGGCAAAGTATGGAGAACATGGGTTAGCACCATGTCTGGCACCATAACACAACAGAAAAAAAGAGAAAGAGACAGCACACAAGGGAACACAAAATACACTGCACCTGCCCAGTAGTCCTCACTAGAAATCCCTACCAGGAAAAAAAACATAGGAGCTGCCAGTGGTGACAAACCAAAATACAGACATAATTTCTACCAATTAGTTACACTGGTAACTCTCAAGTCTGCCTGAAATTATCATCGACACCTACTAAACTGGAATATTATTTTTTTCCTGTCAAATGTTATAGTGGGACAGATGTTAAATATGTATGTTAAAAAATCTTAAGAAATAAAATATTTTTCATCATTAATATTAATCAGAGAATTTCATAGAATTCATAAATAAAAGTGTTTTTTTCAGAGGCTTTGGTGGTGGGTTTTTCACCAGCATAAAGGTAAAACACACGTGACAAATCTTCAGCAGAGATTTTTATAGTGTTTTACTCAGGTAAACAAATGGGAATTTGATATTTGTTACTTTATCCCCATTAAAAAAACAAACCCAACTGTTACTTTATCCACATTAAAAAAACCCCAAAAATCCCTAAATTAACATTTAATGGAAAAATACCTTTCATTCTGAATACTGATAGCAATCTATTTTTCTGTCATTGTCAAAGAAAATAAAACTCTTCTATACAGGTTTCCAAGTAAAATTATCCATAATGACAATGCTGAAGTAAAAAAAAAGTGCCTTGTGGAAAAAAAAAAACAAACCCAAAACAATCATAAAATCATAAAATCATAAAATGGGAGGTATCTCATCACTTGAGATTAATCCTACAGATTTTGCAAAAGTAAACATGTATTTTGATAAAATCCTTGTCATGCTATATATGCTATTCTACTACCTGACTTCTTGTTCTGCTCTTGTTTCCCAAACTTGCCATGTGGGTCATAGTTGCACACACGAATACTCCCAAAGTCCTGACCAGCTGATGCTGACCCAACTTATCGGTGCACAGCTCCAAAACAATGTTCCAGAGTTCCCAAGGCAGTACGGGAATGATCATAACCACGTATTTCGAGGTTTCCACATGCAGAGAGAACAGCGATATGATGAAACAACATCATCCTCAAAGAGACAAGAACAGCTGCTGGCACAGAGTAACTTATTCAGGTACCATGGAATGTTCAATCTGCACAATTCCACTGCCACTGTAGTAAAAAAGTGTGATTTCTCAGAAGGATAATATTAGCCAATTATGATGCTTAGAAACTGGCAT